AAAAACTAAAATTAAAAATAACCTATAAAATGATATATAAAACAAAGAAGCATCGAACTAGCAGTTCATCACTGTAGACTAACAGTCACAGCTTGCGCTGAGAAATTTATAAGTGTAGAAAAAAAAAAAAATTTAAAGTTAGTTTTTTCGAAAACATTCAATATACCTATTTCTAGTTTCCTGTGATTTCTTTCACGTGATAACGCTAACTCTATAATATTTATGCGCGTTCACAATTTTAACGTTAAGTTCGTAAAATCCCATCATAAGGCCACACAAATTTAATATATTGGTTTTCATAACATGAAACTTTTAAACAGACCCGGCCGGCCGGTTTTTTTTTTAAAAATTTCATATATAAAAATTTATAAAATTTTTTTAAAAAACCCACCCGGTTATTACAACATAAAACAATTTTTTTTTACAAGTTTTCAAATTTTGACCCGGCAGGGTTATGAAAACCAATTAATTAATTTTGTATAGCCTAACTAATTTTTATCGACACAAAAAATTTGGTTAAAGCCGTGTCCGATTAGGGGTTACTTTTTTGATGCATTTAAAGTTAGTTGTTTATAACAATATCAAGAATACGATTTATGCAAATGTAGATCAATATGTAATTGGCACGACCCCCTTCATACGTAGCGTTATGATTGATTTTATAGTTATCCTCTAAATTGATTCAAGTTTGGCAATTTTTTTATAGTAACAAGGTTAATTGAAGTGAAGTTTTATTTCATCTATGGTCTGTTTCCACTTATAACATGCTAATCAGTCATTCTTGTCACGCAAAGTTTAGTAATTACTCAAAGTCTGATTTTTTTTTCAACACATTTGAAACAAAAATATATTGCTAACCTCGAATTATTATTACGCATTTCAAAATAATACCCCATTTCTCTAATTATAAATAAATTAATATTTTACAACACAAAATTTATTCTAATATACTAAATTATTTTAAACCAAAAGATGAGACACTATCTTGATTATAAGGTGTTGTACTTCCACCTTGGTTATTTACTAAAATTTCTCGTTCTCGCAACATTTCTTTCAATTGTTCTAATCTCGATTGTAATTTTGGCACCTCAATTAATTTCTGTTCAAGACTTTGTTTTTCTTCTTGTAATTCCAACCTACGTTTGGCGTCAAGTTGAGTGAACACATAACCACCTTGTCCATCGTACTATAAATGGACAATAACCAGTAAATAAAAAAAATTTTTTATAAATTATGAATGAATAAAGGATGGACTAATTTTGTAAGTCGTTTACCTGTAGAATATAGTTATGATATTTCCAAAGCGATGGACGATGAGAAACAGTTAATAAAGAAATACCCAGATCTATTTTAAAAGATTAAGGATGATTGTAAATAGTCGTTTGAATATAATTAAAAAGTAGATAAATTTAAATGTATTTACTAGTAGCGTGTGTGTACATAATTTTCTCGATTTCCAAACCAACAGAGCTTGTACCTTTCAAATTTACAAGATAATCAATTAGAAAATCCACATAAATAATGATTGAATTTTGTTAATGACCTACATTCATCCAGAATTGCATATTTTGGACGATGGTAAAATAATCGCGCCATTGCAATCTAATATGGTGAAAATATTTCTATGAAGTTAACCAAATAAAAAAGTGCAAATAAATTTGATATTCAACATACTTTTTGCTTATCACCACCTGCAAGAACGTCTTTCCACTCACGTTCTTTATCCCAACCACCTTCGCGATCAACAATACTATTTAATTGAACTACGTCTAGAATTTCTTGCAAATCTTTGTCTGTAACATTACCTGTAATAATTGTACAGAAATAAGATAAATAAGACTTTAATTAAAAAAAAAAAAAGGTTATTATTCGAAAGGAAGAAATTCATACTCACGCTCTTTCATTTCGCGAGTAGTGTGAGGATAAATTATTCTAAAAAATAAAATAAAATAAAATAAAATCAAAATAAATAAAAATAAATAAATAAGTAAATCACCGACAAGAATATTACATATTTAAATAAATACTTACTGATCTCTTAAAGTACCATGTGATAAATAAGGCCGTTGTGGGATATAAAAAATATCCTTTGGATTTGGCCTGTGAACTGTACCACCTACAACAACATAAGGACGCAAATTTATTAACCATTCATAAATATCTCTACAGAATAATATTATACGTACCGTATACAGGCCATAATCCACCTAAAATTCTAAATAAACTGCTTTTACCACATCCATTTGGACCAACAATTAACAAGTGCATCCCAGGTTTTACATGGAAACTCAATTTTTTTAGCAAAACGTCGCCATTTGGAGAAACGATTGGAACATCGGTGAATTCAATGTTTTCATCTTCGATGACAGTTCCACGACCAGATAATACTTTAGCGTTCTCTTCAATCGAAACTGATGAAACGAGTTGTTTTTTAAACCGGCCAGCTTTAACTTCTTCAAAAACATCCAAGAGTTCTGAAACCTAACAAAAAAAAAAAAATAATATAGAAATTAGATCACTCACCCAAAGGGATAAAATTGAAACAAGTAATTTATATATTTTACTCTAGCGGTGTATCCAGCTAATTCTGCAATTTCTTTGTATGAATACATAATACGACCAACTGCATCGGATGAACTCATCAACAATCTACGGTTGGTTATAAATCCTTAAATTAACAAAGTAGCATAAATCAGTGAGTTCTGCTCTATGTATATCTTAAACATTGTGAGTTCTACTCTCTGTATATGTCAAGCATTAATGTTATTACCTTCTGCACGCGAACCAAGATTGTCCTTTTTGTTACCCGATATAGTAAAGAAAACGGGTACCGAACAAAGAACCAATCCCATAGCACCCCAGAAATACTTAATTATGAAATCTTCCAGCATTCCGTGGTAAATACGTTTACGGAAAATTCTGTTAATATGCTTGATTAAAGCAAAGTAATTACGATCTAGGATGGACTTTTCAACTTCATGGCCAGAATAGAGGGCAATTTCTTCAGCATTCTCGATGAGACGCGAGTGTGTAAACCGGAATTCACCCTGAATAACAATAATATAATGTATTATATCGATATAAATTTTAACAAAAAATAAAGGTGCATTAAGTTACATACCTCTAACTTTTGTTCCTCTGCTACCATTTTTCCAAATGGAGGAGTCAAGGCTCTCAAAACGACCGATGATAAATGAACGATCAATGAGACACCAAACAAACCCTCGCCACCAACATTTTTTACCAATTGTAAGTTATATATGAATACATCTAAGATCGGTTTTACCAGATTAGAATAAAGTTCAGAAAGTGAATTACAAAATTTCATCGTATCCACTGTGATGCATCTTTTTTGGAAATTGATTATTCATTAGGTAAAATTATTAACACAGTAATGACAATTATATATATATATACGCACTGATCTGCATTCTTAATACGATCATCTAAATTTCCGATTGCGTAGAAAGTCATATCTGACAGGTATTGTTGATGTATGTAATTGGTAAGGCGAGTACGGAATTGTATGGCTAATTTACTTTGCATATACGTAAGCTGAATATAAAACATGTTAAATCACCAAACTGGATGCAATAATTGTCATATTATTAAAGAAATTTTTACCATGCTATTAGTATAAGTGGCAGGAATGGCGACTGTCATCCACCATACGA